AAAACCATCCTCCCTAATCTTTTTCCAGGTGCCGCCCATTCACCTGGGCATCTTCCTGCAAACCTGGCTCAGGAAGCCAAAACAGCAGGACTCCGCCCAAGCCTTTTGTCCTTCCCTTTCACCTTCTCTCAACTGAGCTCAGGAGCTATAGATATGTTCATTGAGCCTGAGAAACCAAATTGCGGGCCTGGGATTTGAACCAGCAAAGTACGATGTAAAGTTACCTGAGTGTCTGGAAAATTACTGATGTTAGTTGTATCCTGTTGTAGTCCCTCCCAGCTTGGTGTGAAGCTCCTCCCCTAAATAATACAGAGGCCCAGGCTGGCCCAGGTGTGCATTACGGGTTGGAGGGCATGCAGTAAAGATTGCAGGGTAGTGAGTTGCTGCCTGCAGAGGCCACGATGCCTGTAGTCCCAAGTCTGCCCACCAGTGATGCATCCACCCTGGTTCGGGGTGCCTCCTTGTCTCCCTCCTTCTGTCTTTCTGTGTATTCTTTTGCTATCTCTACTGCCGCCAGATATCCCCTCCTTGTGAACCAAACACTCGTGAACAACACAACTATGTCGAGGACAGTCCCCGACAGGTTTGAACCACCAGCCTTGCAGTTAGCAGTCCAGTGCATATCCAACAGTGCCACACCAGGACTCCCAAATTCTACATACACTTCTATTTAATTCTACTTAAGCTAGATTTTTTTTTTTTAAGACTTCCCCAAAACGCAGGAAGTTTATAAGTTTTATTCCTTTTAACTACTTTCTGCCTTTTGTGCTTTTGTTATTGTATATTTTACTTTTGTTGTTGTTGTGAAGTGCTGTTGAGTTGGTTCTGACCCATAGTGACCCTGTATAGGGTTTCCAAGGAGCGACTGGTAAACTTGAACCACCGACCTCGTAGTTCAAATGGCTTTGTAGTCTGACTTATTAACCCACAGAGCCACAGCATACCTTCTAATTCCCAAAGACAGTATTATGATTTTTTAAAGTCAATTTACATGTATGTGTACCCCTGCTTACTACACTTTCTGTTATTCTTGAGTCTTTTCCTGTAGCTCTGTGCTTCTGTGTTTCCATCTGGGGCTATTTTTCCTTTATCCTAAAGAGCCCCGTAGTATTTTGTTCTTGTATATTTTGTTTTCAGCTTTCTTATCTGAAAACATCTTTCTAAAATTCTAGTTTTAGTTTGTTTTCTTTTAGCATTTTAAAGAGGCACTCCCTTGCCTCTGGCTTCAGTAGTTTCTACTGAAAAGTTACTTGAAGTATTTTTTGAAGATAATATGTAGTTTTCTTTGTGTTTATCACGCATAGGTTTTGCTGTACTTCTTGAATCTATGGGTTGATGTTATTGTCAAATTTGGAAAATTCTCATCCATTATTCAAGTATTGCTTCTATCTTTATCTTCTCTTGGATTAGACCTTTTGGTTATTTCCCATATGTGTATTATATATTCTGTTGTTTTGTTTTCATTTATTTGTTCCTGTCTGCTTCTGTTTGGATGTTTTCTATTGACATTTATTTGCTAATTAGGTCTTCTTTTAAGTCCATTCAATATTGTGAATTTTAGAACTTTTATTGGATTAAAAAATAATAATAATAGATTTCAATTCTCTTTTACAATTCTTCCTTCCATATCCATTTTGTCCGTCTTCCCTCTGTCCTTTCTAACATACCACTCATACTTATTTGGGCATTCCTCTTCTGCTGACTCCAATATCCACATTGTTTCTGAGATGCTTCTATTGACTGTGTTTTCTCTTGGTCACTTTTTTCGGCTCTTTTCCATCTGCTAGTGCTTTTTTTTATTGTATCAAAGACATTGTAGATATGTTTCAGAGTCTCTGAACAGTGTTATTGCCTAGGTTTTTCTATGGCACCACTTAAATTTCTAACTGATCAAATCTGTTTCCGTTTTGCCTTATTCCTAGATATGGTCATTATTCCCAGGAATCTCCATTATGGGATTTCAAACTGAAATCACAGGGTGCTCACACCTCTTTACTTTGATTGGGCCTAAACTTCAACCTCTCTCCCCAGAATTGTGCTGCCTTGAATGAAATCTCTGTTCAGAGCCCTAACTTTCTGGAGTCTGTTCTTTGCAGGACTTCCTAGAATCTTACCTTATGTATGCAGAATTTAGGAGTCATTCATGGAGACAAGGGAAATTTTTACATAGTCTTTTCTTGAATGGCCCCTTTCTCTTTTTATAATTCCTTCTGAGTTCCAGCCTCCTGGCAGCCCTACATTCCAATCCACTCCTCAGTTTAGTGAGACTGTTGCTCTCTGCTTTGTTTGTTTTTCTCAGCACCTGGTTTATAAAACAAACAAACAAAAAATGCCCCCAGGGAGAAATCCAGGGTGAATATGGGATTATCTTTGCTTCCCTACTGTCAAGATATGCAGCATTACATTGATTGCTGTCCCATGCCTATAAATTGTTATAGGCATACCTTGGAGAAATTGCAGGTTTAGTTCCAGACCACCTCAATAAAAGAAATAATCACAATAAAGCAGGTCACATGAATTTTCTGGTTTTCTAGTACATATAAAGAGCCCTGGTGTGACACTGTTAGGTAAGCACTGAACTTGTAACAACAAGGTCATCAGTTCAAACCCACCAGCTGCTCTCAGAAACCTTATACAATATTGCTTTGAGTCAGAACTGAATGACTGCATACAACAACAACAACCGTGCAACTAAACCATAAAGTTTAGTCTCCATGGTAGTCTATTAAGTATACAGTGATAACATTATGAAAAGTTGGAAATATTGTGACAATTACCAAAATGGGACACAGAGATACAAAGTGATTACATGCTTTTGGGAAAATGGTTGATAGACTTACTCAAAGCAGGATTGCCACAGACCTTCAGTTTGTGAAAAGTACAATATTTGACAAGTACAATAACACTAATATATCTCGTTCACCTTTTATAATTGTTTATGGTAGGAGGGTAAGTCCAGTCCCAATAGAGTAGTAATAGAAAAATAGTAGGGGAAAAAAATCTGTTTATATTATGATCACTGTTGAAAAAACCTGTATATTCATTGGAAAAAGGATTGGAAGGAATATATCAAATATATCCAAAAGTTGTTGGCCAGATTAGATGAGATATGGGCACTGAGGGGAGTTTATAATAATACCTACTGATGTGTGTTTCTTTCTGATCCTCCAGTACCTTCCTACACTGGGCTATGCAAAACGAGTCCATTTGATGAATCCTATGGTCCCAGGATTAACTGGCAGCAAAATGAGCTCTTCTGAAGAGGTAGGTTACCATCTCTGAACGTGAATTTAGAAATCTTGAGCAAGAGCTGGGGAGAATGAGGACTCATTAGTAAAGTAACCTACCTAACTAGAATTCTTAAATATTTGAATGATAAGGAAACTTAAGTCATCCAGTGGTTCTTAAGTATATTGAAAGACCCAATCCTGATGGGATTCAATCATAATTTTAACCCATTTACTACTACTGATAAAAAGCCCAAGCAAAAGTAATTTCTCTATGCACCAAAACTGTGATAAAATTCAGCTTTAGTAATGAGAAGGTCATGGTTGCAGTCTACCTATTAGCATCTTGTTTATTAAAGAGATGTAATACAGCTTATTGATAAATACAACATCTTTTAACATTTAAAAAATCTTTCTTAAGGGAAAAAACAGGTTTGTTTTGATCTTTGTTGTTACGTGCTATGAAGTTGGTTCCGACTCATAGCTCATTCTACAGCGCCACAATAGGCTTCATTTATTTTGGAGTGGAGTCCTGGTATGGCATTGTAAGACAAGCACTGAACTGGTAACCACAGGGTTGGCAATTCAAATCCACCAGCCACTCCTTTGAAATCCTAAACAGGGTTGCTACGAGTTGGAACCGACTCAGTGGCATTTAACAACAAACACATTACTCTAAATGAATCTTGATGTGGCACTGTAGAATAAGCACTGGACTACTAACCACAAGGTCAGTTGTTCAAACCCCCCAGTCACTCCTTGGAAATCATACAGGGTCGCTATGAGTCGGAATCGACTCCACAACATTTAATAACAACAACAACATTACAATAAAAAGGTAAAATTGCTCTAAAGTGTATGATGCCTGGTGCTGGTGATTGCCGTGAACAATTGACATTGTTAGTGGGATGTCATTTATATCTGTTTCAGAAAGCAGTTTTGGGCCTAGTAGTTTTAGATCATTTAAGGAAGTAATCCTAGTTGTTGTTAAGTGCTGTGGAGTTGGTTCCAACCCATAGGGACCCTGTATAGGTTTTCCAAGGAGCAACTGGTGAGCTTGAACCGTCGACCTTACAGTTCAAACTGACTTTGCAGTCCAGCACATTAATCTACAACACCACACCAGGACTCCTAAGAGGGAAGAAAAAACTCTGCAAGGATGTTCAATATAGCATTATTTATAATTTGTAAAAATTGGGGCAATCTAACAATATGGAAATTGTTCATTATGTTACCACTAATGATTGATGATATAATGCAGTATAAAAATCATACATGAAGACTAGGTGGTTTTGTTAGGTGCTTCGATTCATAGCATCCTTATCCTATGTCCAACAGAAGGAAACTCAGACTGGTCATGTGCAATCCCCACAATCATTGCTATGTCTGAATCTACTATTGCATCCATCTCATTGAGGGTCTTCCTCTTTTTCATAACCTGCTAGGTATGAAGAGTAGGTAGCCACTCAAATACTTACGATATGGTCTCAAGTGGAAAGCATAATTGTTGTTGTTAAGTGTGTTGATAGACCTTTATTCTGTACAAATATGAAACAATTTTATATGCTGTGGACAAGGCCTAAATTTAAAAACCAGAAAATAGTTTTTATGTGTTGAATGGATGATCTATCAGTGGCTCGTTACTGTAATCAGTTATTTTGTTAAAGTTGTTTCATGTTGAAATCCTGGTTGTTGTTGTTGTTGTTGAAATCCTGGTAGAAAAACATATTTAAATACATAAGATAGTTGAGCAGTCTCATTTTCAACCACAAGAGGTCCTCTTCCTTTTTGTGGCTTCTAGGAGTCCAAGATTGATCTGCTTGATCGCAAGGAGGATGTGAAGAAAAAGCTGAAAAAGGCCTTCTGTGAGCCAGGAAACGTGGAGAACAATGGGGTTCTATCCTTCATCAAACATGTCCTCTTTCCCCTCAAATCTGGTAAGACAGTCCCTGTTTCCTTAGAGACCAGGCTGGAATAGCAAAACTAATGCTGTAATCACATTTGCAGTTTGTCTTCCTGATTCTGTGGTCTGATTTCTTATATATTAATGTATGGTTAGGAGTCCTGATGTGGCACTGTGGGTTAATGAGCTGTGGACTACAAGGTCAGTTTGAACTGCAAGATTGGCTGTTCAAGCTCACCAGCTACTCCTTGGAAACCCTATACACATTCACTATGGGGCAGAACCAACTTGACAGTATTTAACAACAACAATGTACAGTTGCAGTTGGGATCACATTTAGTTGTTTATGGGTTTGTACCCAACTGGGTTTTTGGGAGGGTATCAAAGTGGGCAAGAGTGATAAAAATAAAGGTTGGCACAAGTATGTTGGATTTTCTGTTGTACTTAGGTGCCATTGAGTCGATTTTGACTCATAGTGACCCTGTATGACAGGGTTTTCTTGGCTGTAATCTTTACAGGAGCAAAGTGCCAAGTCTTTTTCTTGAAGAGCTGCAGGGTGGGTTCAAACCGCCAACTTTTCAGTTAGCCTCTCTCTCAGCACTTAACTGTTTGCACCTTGATGCCTCCTTCATTGTTGAGCTAGAGGAATACAAAAGAAATAAAAGATGTAATTCTTACCCTTGGGGAGCATCAGTGCCAGCTGGGTGTACAATATGGCCACACATCTATTTTAAGACCAATAAAATGTGAGATAATACTGTTCTAAATACATGGCAAAAACTCCAGATATTCATGCATTTGGGTTAGGAATGAATTTGTTGGCACATATTCCTTTTTCTTACAGAATTTGTAATCCTTCGAGATGAGAAATGGGGTGGAAACAAAACCTACACTGTGTACTTGGACTTGGAGAAGGACTTTGCTAGTGAGGTAATACCAGGAAAAGATTAATCCCTATGGAACTTATTTCTAGTTATGTGTCACAGGGCTTTATCTGATGGTCTCCAAGGCTGTATATTCTGTTAATGGCTTAGATGAGGATTCAGGTGGTTCACAGACTAAAATGGGCATAAATCTAATATATTGACATCCAATCACTCTCCAAAGGACTTGAGAAGCAGAGATGAAGAACCATATCCAGCAAGATGAAGAACTTCAGGAACAGATACAAATCAGGCTCCAATAAAAAGATACAACTTTTTTTTTTTTTTAAAGCTTTTATTGTGAATTGAATGAAGGTTTACAGGGATAATATCAGTTTTACACTCAACAAATCATTACAATGATTATAATCCCCTCCATGCACCATCAGCTAACAGTATTTGCCTCTATTACATACCACATTGAAAATATATATTCATTTAAATGTCCAAAGGGCATGTTTTGCAAGCCAGCTTCCTGTGCCCACAGGCACACTGCCTTTCTCAGTCCATGGGCCCGTAGTCCTCTGCTGCTCTGTCTCTCAGTGCCATCGCTTCTGCCACCATCTCTGTTGTCACCGCTTTTCTGGTTGGGATCTCTCGCTCCTCTCAAGCTCTTCCCTCTTGGTGGTTCTAGGCTCCTCTGTTCTTGACATGACAGATTAACAGCTCCCCTCTTTTAGTTACGCCTCGTCTACATTTACAGTTGTGATAATCACCATTAGTCCTCACAATAATAATTACTCACAATTGAATCAAAATCCTATCCCCATCATCACCAGACCCATCTGGACCAGAGGATAACTATTCAGTGGGATTCCTGTCTTAACCTGCTTCATTCTGACACTAAGCACCCTCATGAAAGCTTGTAAGCAAGCCTTTATATCCTCCCAGTTTTGATAGCTGAAGTTTAAGCTGCTCGTCCATATCAACCCAGTGTACTGAGGCGGCAAGCTTGATTCTTAATATGTAGAATCCTTTCCATTCTGTTGGAATTTGGGGCAACTTCATCCATAAGCAAAGGTCCAATTCATCAAGTTGTAGCAATTTACATTTGCTCCTTATATCAAACTACTTTGTCTTCATCTGATTGAATTCTGGTTAGCAAGCCATCCAGGCTATGTCAAATGGGTGCTTTCTACAAGTTTGGGAGTTCTCGTACACCTCCCCAACTTTAGACCACTTCACTCTTAACTCTAGGGCTCAGGAGTTCACACGTTTCCCTGAACTTCAAGCCAGTCAGCCCTTCCTTTTCTCTCTCTCATCTCAAGTTCATAGGGGTGTCCGTGGAACATGGCCAAACTCAACCCATGTCTTCATTGCTGCATTTCCCCCACTTCCACTCACAAGTTGACCAGAGTGGTCACCAGCAAGTCTGCAAGACTGTGTGTTCCCTTTGAGTTTCAGTCTTAAAAGGGGGTTTACCCTGATGGTCTGACTTTTCTTGCCTTGATGGCTGCAAGGCAAGCATGATCTTGTCACAGCCAAACAGTCTGCTTTCTCTCCCTCCACCACCCCGTTGATCTTTGTTTCAAGAAGTATCTTCTGTTTCTCTTCTAGCTGCTCCAGGTTGGTCTGCATGTGTTTTCAGAACCCAAAGGTTCTGGGTGGGGCTCAGGATTCCATACTCCACAAAGACTTAAAAGTCTATTTCCCTGAGCACATTCTAGTGCCCTTTTAGCTAATCCAATCAGTTATAGGCTGAAGGTGGACTTACAAGCTTTCTATAATCATATTAACCAATATTCCTTTCTTTACTACTTAAATGTTTATATTACAGTAGTAGGCAGGGGAAACCAATATCCACTAAACAGTCAAGCACTTTAACATTGTTTCCACTCCTTTACCCATTCAAACTATGTCTTGATGCCTATATCACAGAGCCCTGTTGTTCCAAGGATGTGATTACATGACAGTCTACCTCTGTCCCATTTAGCCCATGCATACCTCCCTAAGTCTTCTCCATCATCCCCATTTATCTATCACCCTCCCCTTCTTATGCATGGCCCTCCCTCTCCTTTTTATTGTCCTACACAGTTACCTGAGCTATCATGCGTCTGTCTATCCCCTAACGTGAGAGTTGCTGTCTGCTCCCTCCCACCCTTGGTAACCATCAAAGAATTATTTTAATATGGAAATTTTTTCTTAAGCTTTTATAGTAATGGTGTTATGCAACATTTGACCTTTTGTGCCTGAATCTGACTAATTTCACTCAGCATTATGTTCTCAAGGTTCATCCATGTTATGAGGTGTTTTGCAGCTTCATCATTATTCTTCAAGGTAGCATAGTATTCCATTTTATGTATATACCAAAGTTTGCTTATCCATTCTTCCACTGATGGGCACTTAGGCTGTCTCCATCTTTTTGCTATTGTGAACAGTGCTGCGATGAACATAGGTGTGCACGTATCTACTTGTGTTCTAGCTCGTATTTCTTGTAGATATGTACCAAGTAGAGGAATTGATGGATCATACGGTATTTCTATTTCCAACTTTCTGAGGAAGCGCACCATACTTTTTTCCAGAGTGGTTGAGTCATTTTACAGTCCCACCAGCAATGTAGAAGGGTCCTAGTCTCTTTACACCCTGGCCAGCATTTGCCGTCCTCTCCTTTTTTGAACTTCACTGTTACTGCTGGTGTGAGATAATATCTCATTGTTGTTTTGATTTGCATCTCTCTAATGGCTAGTGATCATGAACATTTCGTCATATGTTTGTTGGCTGCCTGAATGTATTCTTTGGTGAAGTGTCTGCCCCTTTTTTTATTGGGTTATTTGTCTTTTTCTTGTAGAAGTGTTGTAGTTTCCTATAAATTTTAAAGACTAACCTCTTGTCTGATATGTCATTGCAAAAAAAAATTTTTACCATTCTGTAGGCTCCCTTTTTACTCTTCTGGTGAAATCTTTTGATGCACATAAGTTTCTAATTTCTAGTATGTCCCAGTCATCTTATTTTGTCCTTTATTGTTTGTGTGGTTTTTGCCATGTTCAGTAGTGTATGTATCTAATACATGCCATGTATCAGAGCCCTTAAGTTTTGTCCATTTTTTCATTGATGATCTTTATAGTTCTGGGATTTACATTTACATCTTTAATCCATGCTGAACTAGTTTTTGTAAATGGTGTGATATGGGTCTTGTTTCATTCTTTTGCAAATCAATTTCCAGTTTGCCATCACCATTTCTTAATGAAACTATCTCTTCCCCATTTAATATATTTTGGCTCTTTGTCAAAGATCAGTTGACTGTATGTGGATGGATTTACTTCTGGGTTCACAATTCTGTTCCGTTGATCTATGTATCTTTCATTGTGTCAGGACCAGACTTTTGACCACTGTAGGCCGTGTAGTAAATTTTGAAATCAGGGAGTGAGAGGCCTACTACTTGTTCTTCTTCTTAAACAGTGCTTTGCTTATCTGAGGTCTCTTTCCCTTCCATATAAAGTTCGTGATATTTTTTTCTGTATCTTTAAAGAATGTTGTTGGAATCTGGGTTGGGCTGGCATTATATCTGTAGATTGCTTTGGATAGTATTGACATTTTCACATTGTTAAGTCTTCCTATCCATGAGCATGGTATATTCTTTGATTTTTATAAATCTCTTCATTTCTTGTAGGAGTGTTTTGTAGTTTCATAACTATTATTATTAAATATATTGCTGCTGAGTTGATGATAACTCATGGCAACCCCACCTGTTACAGAATAGAACTGTTCCATTGGGTTTCCTTGATTATAATCTTTACAAAGGATCTCTGGTGGCACAGTGGTTAAGCACTTGGCTGCCAGCCAAAAGAAATTTGTGGTTTGAATCCACCAGCCATGCTGCAGGAGAAAGATGAGGCCATCTCCTTCCATAAAGACTTAACAGTCTCAGAATCCCTACTGAGCAGTTCTCCTGTGTCCTACAGGGTCACTATGGGTCAGAATTTACTTGACAGCAGTGGGCTTGATCTTTGTTCTTTTTTTTGTAATATGTCGAACTTATTGGGAGTAAGAGGGATGCCATGATAGGGAATAGGCTCAAAAGTTATAAAAGGTGCAATTGAAAGAACAAAGGATATTGAACTGGGAAGCAAATATGTGTTTGATCATCCTCAAATATATGAAGGGCTCTCACAGAAAAGGGGTCAGGTTTCTTCTAAACCAGCAGTGTGGGTGGAAACCACAGGGAGGCATGTCTAGATCCAACATAATGAAGTACTTTCTAGTGATTGCTCTCATTTGGCAATGGACTAGACTGCCTCACTTGACCTTACATTCCTCATCACTAGAGGTGTTCAGGCAGGGGCTAGAGGACCACTTGGAGGCAATGTTACATGAGGGTTGAGGACCCTTAAGGCTCAAATTTTTTATGTTCCACAGCTTTTCTTCTGAAACCATTCTGTCTGCAGTCTGAGGCAAGCCACAGAACACAAACTCCATTCCTTAATCCCATAAACAATCCTTTGTGGGAATAATGAGAAGCAGTAGGTGAAATACCTCTGAAGAAAGGTCTGGAACAGAGTTATCCAGTAGCCTTTTCTGTTAGGGTGGGCATGCCACATGTTAACTATTGAGCATTTGCAGTGTTGCTAGTTCAGCTGAGGAACTGAATTTTAATTAATTCACATTTAAATAGCCACATAAGGCTAGAGCCTACTGTATTGGACAGCATCAGGCTACCACTTTTCTGTTGTTAAAAATGACATATTCCCAAGGAAATAAATAGTAACAGAAACAAATATGTATACATTGTTGTATTATAGTAATTCATATCTAAGTGATATCCCCTCCAAATATCTACAAGATCCTTGCAGGACAGACTGGGGATATGAAAGTGTTACAGGACAAGAGAAATTGAATTATGGAACTTCTAGGTGGCACAAACAGTTTATACTCCAATTCAAATCTAAGGGTTGGCCATCGGAATCCACCCAGCAGTGTGCCATGGAAGAAAAACTGCTTCAGTAAAGACTGTCGCCAAGAAAGCCCGCTGGAGCCATTCTGCTCTAATACATGGGGTCACCATGAGTTGGGATTGACTCAATGGCAACCGGTTACCACGTACTCGGGCTGCTGTCAGTAGTTTTACCTGTCTTCTACCCTTTGAGACATATAGTATGATCCCCATTCTATAAATTAAAAAGGGAGCCCTGATAGCATTGTGGACTAGGGGCTAACCACAGGACTGCTAACCACAAGGTTAGTAGTTCAATACCAGTCGCTATGCAGGAGAAAGATGAAATCTTCTGCTCTCATAAAGATTGACAGCCTTGGAAACCTTATACTGGGTTGCTATAAGTCAGAACTGATTTGATAACACATAACCACCACCATACATTTGGACTCCTGGTGTGGCACTGTAGGATCCACAATGGACCGCAAACCATTAACTTGGCAGTTCAAACTCTCCAGCTGCTCCTCGGAAACCCCATATAGGGTCATAGTGAGTCAGAATTGACTCAGTGGCACTTAACAACACGTGAAGAAACCAAAACTTAGAGGTGGTCAGTGCCTAGTTTAAGGTCTCTCCAAAGCTCTTGTTCTTATGTAGCATTCACCTCTCCCCCAGATTGTCTTTATTCCTTTGGTTGCCTGTGTGAATGTTTCTCTGCTTATAAATAATGCTTGGTTTGTGCTACTACTCTAAGCATAAACGGAAGGACTAGAATTAAACTAAATATACTTAGCCTCTAAAACAAAACAAATAAAAACTTGTTGCCATCAAGTTGATTCAAACTCATGGTGTCCCCATAGGGTTTTCTTGCCTGTAATCTTTTATGGAAGCAGATCACTTGGGCTTTCATGCCTTACTCCATTGAATGGGTTTGAACTACCACCTTTAGGTTAGCAGCCAATCACAAACCTCTTACTCCACTGAGAACTAGTCAGTCAGCCTCTAGAAACCCTCAAATTAGTATAGCATTGTGAGTCAAAATACTTGGCTCTTGGACAAGTCAGTTAACTTTTCTGAACCTATTTCCCCTTCTCTGTTCTGCCTGATTTACTGTGAGGATCAAATAAGACTCTGCTGGGAAAATACTTTGTATCCTCTGTGAACGTTATTCTCAGTAGATTCAGCTGTCCTGTGCCCTGTTTGAGTGCCTCATCTTAACCAGCCCTTGTATACCTCTGCAGGTTGTCCACCCCGGGGACCTAAAGAATTCTGTTGAAGTCGCCTTGAACAAGTTGCTGGATCCCATCCGGGAAAAGTTTAATACCCCTGCACTGAAGAAACTCACCAGTGCTGCCTATCCAGACCCCTCAAAGCAGAGTAAGGCCAGCTGGGGAGAGGAAGGGCCATGGTGGGGGGTGAAACAGGAGAGAGCCTGTCTTGGGCTTCAGAAAAAGGTCTGTCTTAAATTGCGGTCCCAAGAACCCAGGGGGTCTGAAATACAGGAATGCCATACCCCATTAACTCCTGGAATGGAATTTGAGTCATCTTGATTTTGGCTTGGTCACTGATTTGAAATGACTACATCCTGTTGGGTCAACACCGTTGATAGATGCTAGCATGAGGCATGGACTTGGTTCCTTTGTTTTTTAGTGTGGTGTTTATTGAAAATTTACAGAGTATGTTAATTTTCCATTCAGTAGTTTGTGAGGGAAGTTCATAAAGTTCATAGAAAAATGGAATTTTCCCACAAATTTTTTTGAAGTCCCCACATACACATTTTGTATATACAGTTCCCTTCAATGTAACTTCATTCTTCCACTCCCTTTCTGAGTTCTCTCTTTCCATTTGTCTTTCATTCCTGTCCCTTCCTGCCTTTTGGGTTTGTTACTGGGTACACATTGCCCTTTTGGCCTTGTGTTATTCACTTTATAGGCCTATTGTTTGGCTGGAAGTTGATCCCTCGAGTGGGGTGCAGTTCCAGGTTTGAAGGACGGAAGCATGAACCTTGGTCCTTTAGTCGCTTCACAAAACCTGCCTCTTCGTTGAGGAGACCCATTGAGTTAGCCCATGAGATTGATAATCTGTACAACTGCTGAGGCAGACAGAGCCTGCACAGCTTCTCAGGGAAGCTTATCTTTAGATCCTCCCAGTTCCCTTACATTTGCTTTGACTGGCTCTTAGTTGGCCATCCACTTATCCATGATGCTGAAATATTAACATTAATAGCTTTATGTGACCCTCCCAGAAAAGACAGTAAATACATGTGAAATGCATGAGTGGAAACACTTAAAAGCTGCAAAGTTACTCTTACCCTCCTTTTCCCACCTTCTGGCCAATGCCTAAGAAAGAGAACAGATGAAAATCGAACGTGTCATTTCTGAAAGGTTGCTGCCTCTGTTTTAAAGAAACGTAACTCAGTGGATAGATACTAGCAGTTCTGCGCTGAATCCTGTCCAATCCCAGCATCTTGATTTGCTGGGATCTGCAGCCTGCACAGGGAAGGAGGGTTCTGACTCTTAGGGTTCTTCTCATTTCCAGAGCCAATTGCCAAAGGCCCTGCCAAGAATTCAGAACCAGAAGAGATCATCCCATCCCGGCTGGATATCCGCGTGGGGAAAATCATTAGTGTGGAGAAGGTACTCATTTCTCACCATGTGCTTGGGAGGCAGTGAGGGTCAGGTTTGTCTGTTTCCATCTGGAGGAAACCTGGCCTGGAGAGGGGACTTAACTTCCCAGAGGTCATATTTCAAGTCAGAACCTAGGTGTCGAATTCCAGGTCTCAGCTCTCTCTCTAATTTGCTGCCCCTGGACCTCACAACTAAACCCTGCCAGGAACTCAGAGTGGGGGGTGGATATTAGTCACAGGGAGTTTGCCCTTTAAATCTGGCCTGGTGGATCTCAGCTGGTGTCCGCCAGCATGCCTGGACTTGCTACTGGCCTATCTTTTCTTGGATCAGTGGCACACCCCACCACCACACACATACTGAGTGCAGGGAGGACACATCCTTCTTCCCAGAGACAATTATGCAACCAGTGGCCTAGAACCATCATTCTGGGCTTTTGTACCTCCCACCATGGATTTAGTTTTCACTGTAAAAACCTAGGAGTCCTGGTGTGTCACTGTAGGATAAGCCCTGGACAGCTAACCACAAAGTCAGCTGTTCAAACCCAGCAGCTGCTCCTTGGCCCTATACAGGGTCACTATGAGTCAGAACTGACTCGACGGCACTCAACGACAATAAAGACCCAACTACCAAAACTACCTTGAGATGGCTGCTGCTGCTCAACCTCCCCGTGGTGAGGCTAGTGGTTCTTCACCAGGGCCTCATCTGTGCAGCTCGTGGGCGTAATGGTAGCCACTCAAACAGGCCAGGCTATTTCATCTCCTAAAGGTTCTATTTCTTACATAGCAATTAGGCTCATTTTACTCAAATCTGCCCTTTAGTTAAGAGTAAGATAAAGACCCATTCTCCTCACTGCTTTCTGGGGACCTGGAAGAGAGTTTGCTCTAGAAGGTCCCTCTGTAGAAAGTGAAGTGACTGCTCCCTTCTGGAGCCCAAGGGTTGACCAGGCCCCCTGCTCTGTCCCATTCTGCTCCTCTCTGGACCTGACACCTTCTGCCGGCAGCACCCAGATGCAGACAGCTTGTACGTGGAGAAGATCGACGTGGGGGAAGCTGAACCACGGACTGTGGTGAGCGGCCTGGTGCAGTTTGTACCCAAGGAGGAATTACAGGACAGGCTGGTGGTGGTGCTGTGTAATCTGAAAGCCCAGAAGATGAGAGGAGTCGAGTCCCAAGGCATGCTTCTGTGTGCTTCTATGTGAGTGAGGACCTCGGGTGAGGTACAGGACTCGGGGTGGCTCAGGAGAATGGGGAAGTGGTCCCACATGGTGCCCTTCTACACTGCCAGTTAGAAACCATGGGAACACTCTCCTCTTCATTAATGAATGCTAAAAGATAATATAGGAAGGGTTATTTATTATCCACATACTGAATATGAAGCACCTTACCTACAGGCATTATTGAAACAGACTCAAAGCAGTTTGTGTATGCCCAAGTTTTACTACTATACTACTAAGAGGTGAAGCTGAGATTCAAACCAGTTCTGATTAGCTGTAAAGTCCTTGCTCTGATAGGCCTCACTTCCTCTCCTATTAGTGGCCATCTTTTAGAGTATCTCCTAATAATAGGATTCCCACATGTTGCTAGATCATCCAGCCCTGGAAGTATCTGAAGTAGTAAAGCATTGAAGACCTCCTGGGGCTCTGGTACTGAGGATACTTCAGATCCCATTAGGACCCCTCTGGAAAGGCTTAGGTTGCCTTGATCTCCACAGTGGCTGGAAGCAATCCATAGCCTCAGCTTTTCCTTGCCCTGTGTGTCTTCCCAGAGAAGGAATAAGTCGCAAGGTTGAACCTCTGGACCCTCCTGCAGACTCTGCTCCTGGAGAGCGAGTGTTTGTGAAGGGCTATGAAAAGGGACAACCAGATGAAGAGCTCAAGCCTAAGAAGAAAGTCTTTGAGAAGTTGCAGGTAAGCAGCTTGTTATTGAGTCCACAGCTGAGACTTCGTTTTTCATTGACCTTTCTAAATGAGAGGTGCCTGAGGAGGATGGTACTGGAAGGACCTTGTAGCTACTAAACACTGACAAGCTATCTGAAGCTTCAGTTATTCCTCACTTGATTGTCAGTCTGCAGTTAATGCGCTGGACTGCAAGGTCAGTGGTTCAAGCTCACCAGCCACTCCTTGGGAACCCTATACAGCTTAAATCGGAACCACTGACCTTGCGGTTCAAACCGACCTTGTGGTCCAGTGCATTATCCTACAATGCCACACCAGGATAGAATTCCTCATTCAACAAATATTGAGGGGGGTGCATGTATCTCTCACCTCTAGGTGGCATAAAATGACTTATTCTCAGCCACTAATGCAAAGGTTGGAGTCTTGGTGTGGTGCTATAGGATCAGCAGTGGACTACAAACAAGGTTGGTGGTTCAAACCTACCAGCTGCTCCTCAAAATCCCTGTACAGGGTCGCTGAGTCAGAGCCAACTCCAACAGTACTTGTCACTTAACAACAACCACCCAAACTGTAGGCTAAGAACTGGACTGCTAACTGCAAGGTTGGCAGTTCAAACCCAGCAGTCACTCCTTGGAAAACCCTATATAGAGTTGCTATGAGTCGGAATCGACTCAACAGCATTTAACAGTAACAACCACAACTTAAGAGTTGGCAGTTCAGACCCACCCATTGGCTACACGGAAAAAGGTCTGGTGAGCTGCTCATAAAAAACTACAATCAAAAAAACCCTATGAAGCAGTTAATACTTTTTAATACATGCTGCATCACTCACTATGAGTTGGAATCCACTCGACAGCAATAGGTTCTTAATACGTATCAGGCACTATTACTAAGTTGGAGTCCTGGTGTGACGCTGTGGGTTAATGCACTGTACTTGTTTGAACTGCAAGGTCAGAAGTTCAAGCTCACCAGCCACTCCTTGGAAACCCTGTACGGGGTCACTATGGGTCAAAACCGACTCGACAGCACTTAGCAACAATAATTGCTAAGTTAGTGAATTAAGTGGCAAAAAAAACCGCGTCTCCTTGTAGAACTAACACTACACGTATGACTTGTAGTTAAATATGTTATTTCCTCAGTTAAAATGCTTCTGGGGGCATTTTCTCTCCCATCGTAACTACACACAGCAAAGAGCTTTGCCCACTTGATTCTTTCCTGCTTTTACCAAGCTGATCTTTTCTGACTATAAATTTTCATTGTATAAAATGTCTAAGACATAGAGGGAAAACAAAGAAAATAGCTAAATTGTCATAATTTAACGAAAACCTACTTATATGTTGAGGAAGCTGTTTTTCACTATTGGAATACAATGATGGATGTCCTTGTACACAGGCCTTTGCACGTGCCCATGATTATTTTTTTCAATGGAATCCCTAAAATGAACTTACCCAAGTTAGAAGAAATAAGCACTCAGGCTTTTGGCAAGCCATCCTCAGGAAAGCAGACCCAGTTTGCACTGCCTATGGTAGAAGAGGGTCCCTGTTTTCTTGCAGTCCCACTGCCATTGCTTTAATCACTTTTTTTGGTCTCTTCTGTCCAGGCTGACTTTAAAATTTCTGAGGAGTGCATCGCACAGTGGAAGCAAACCAACTTCATGACCAAGCTGGGGCTGGTCTCCTGTAAATCGCTGAAGGGGGGGAACATTAGCTAGCCAGCCTGGCAGCTGCCTCACCCATTCCATCATCCCAACTCATCTGCTATCTCCTCAGTTTGCTCCATTCACCATCTAGCTCCCAAGACACTGATGCAGCAGGTTGGGGACTCCTGAGGCGCACAGCTCCTAAGGAGCAACTCACCCTGCCCAGAATCTGGGATCTTCCTATCTGGCAGCCTGTGTGTTAACAGAGTAGAATGGCAGCAGGGAGTCCAGCTCTACCTTCTTCCCTGGGCAGCTGATTTTGAGCAATCAGGTTTCCATATAACTCACAGAAAAAGTGTATGCCACACAGCCCTTCAAATTGGAAAAACATTGGTTTCCAAGTTTTCCGGGAATTAGTCCAGCAGCTGGGCCTCTGGCTGGAATCTGGAGCCTGGACTAGGCTGACAGCTTCTCCCCAGCAGGAAATTGTGGGTTTGGAAAGGGAAAGGAAAGCAAAGAACCTAGTGGTCTACCAAGTGCTTGGCATCTTTCCCTGGTGCTTGCCACCCCTGAGGCTTGACACTGAGGGGCAGGGCCTGCCTCAGAGCTCCTGGAATTTCCTTTGATCTTATTAGGTTGAGACACTCCCTGAACCAGCTGTGTTGTTAGCATAGAGGTGGATAGGATGGGGCCTGTGGTTCTCCAGAAGGTGGAGAACTTCTCCATAATCCTCAGAATTGTTAACCATCACTGAACAAATAAAATGTCTAAACAAGGGTGTCTGGCTGGCTAAGCCTTGTCTGGGAGTTGCTGGGACCCTCACTAGCCTGGGGCTGCTTACTATATTTCAGGATCTCCGGGGTGGAGGGGATAGAATAGAAGACAGACACTTGATTTTCCCTTTTGGCAGTACAAACAGAAAAGTCCCACTTTAGGTTCCCCAGGCAGAACATCCTCCCTTCTTAGTGTAGACCCAGACCACAGACCTGTCCCTCCCCTATCAAGAAGCAGTAACCACAGCTAAGTTTTAATTATTTAATTAACACCTTTAAATGAAACACATCCAAAGCGTTTTCACTGTGTCTCACTCAGGTTCCAGGGCAGAGGGACTAGAATATTTGGACAGACATATCAAAAACTCAAAAAATTTAAAGAAATATATATATATATATTTCTAACATTTTTATAGAAATTAAAAATCAGAGGCTTTTGGGTCTCTCCACTGTGCTAGGACAAGCTCATCCATTCACCCGAGGGCAGAGAAGTGTTCTATTTCAGATCCTCCTTTGTCCTGTCACCCCCACCTCCCCAGAGCAGAGACAAGTTTCAGAACATCCTAACTCTGGATTAGTAGCTCAAGTAACATTGTGAGAAGAGACATACAAGGGTTTTGAACCAGTTTATTGGGGGGCAACCCTTGTGTAGAATTTGCCTTTCCAGCCCATAAACACTGAATCAGAATCTACATGTTTATAAGATCTCCAGATTCTTACCAGTGGAATCTTGATAAAACGTGGATGATCCCTAGAAAGGCAAATTCTCAGCCCGGGTTGAACTAGAATGAAGTCCCTCCCCCACCTCCTCAGCTCCTAGGCTGCTGCCTGGGGCTGGGGCTGGATCAGGAGCTCTGTGCACAACAGTGCTTACTGATTGATTGTCCTCTTTTCCCAGCTCACTGGGCAGGTGCAACATGTCCCCGAACAGCTCTCCACTGCCCAGATGGCAAGGGAAAAACATTGGTTTGTAGCTACAGGGAGGAGACAGCAGTGAGAAACTGGGCTCTCATACAGTGTACCCAACTCTTGTTTGGAGGGGAGTTCATCTCTCTTTAGCAGAGGAGAGGAAGAAGCCCAAAGCTAGGTACCTTGCCAACTCAATCCACTATGGAGGAAAGGGTCTCCAAAAGGGGTGGCCCTATGTGGCAGCCAAGATGCTATGAGCGAGGCACTGGAGCTACTGTGGTAGCCACAGGAACGTGGAAGCCAGCTTACCTAGAGATGGTACAGACTAAAAACAGGAAGGTCATTCAAATCACTGGCAAGAAATCAGTAGCAGAGGCTGATGTCTAGGGACCAAACATTTAGTCCACTCCCAAAGAACACTGGGTTGCCCTCACCACGGATTAGGGAAGAGTCTGGAATAAAATGCACCTGTGGCTTTCACATCCTTGTCACTCCCAGCAGAAAGGATATGCACCAAGAGTGAGGAGAAAGATCAGAGGATGAAGTCCATGGAGCCAGGTCTAGGCCTACATTCCAAAAGAGCACTCTCCCACCACACCCTCCCCACTATCCACTGCCTCGGTAATTCCTGCTGAGCTGAAAGGGGCACTGCCCCAACACAGTCCATGGGCTCCTGCCTCTAGGAGTTGTGCCCACTTACCTACCCTACCTTGATCCATGTGAAAAAAGGAGCAAATGCTTGGCATTGTCAAGTACCCACTGAGATTACGGCCTACTCTGTTCTCCCACTGTGTGCACCTCCCAGCTGGCCCTTCCTATCCCTATCCATTTGGGCCCTGTCAGTCCAAAAAGCCAGGGGGGTGGTTGGTGGTGCGCTGAGGCACAGGAAGATTAACCTCCTGCACCATTTGTGCTTTGGAATGCCACAGCCAGTCCCTGCCCCCCTCCCCAATCTGGGGAAGCCTGTGAGAATACAGTGACTGGCCCACCTCCAAGGACTACGGAAAGGAACACACTGGATGAGAATGGGACAGACTGGTGCCAGCTTTGGGCTAGCCACAGGCCATGGATGCTGCTGCCATGTAAACAGACCCCTGGAATGTGGCTTCATGAAGTCTGGAGAATGGACATGCAGCCACTTTTCAAAAGTGCTTTGATTCTGAACTCCGTCAGTCATGAAAAAAAACAAACAAGCTCAAGCAAGGTATTCTGGTCCCAATTCTGTGACCTCAGGGCCAGCAGGGGGCGCAACCACCCAATCCTACTAGCTACCTCTTTCCAGTTGAGGGTAAGGCCAAGACTGAAGTGGCAAGTGCCAGAGGTGAATCCATTTGGGAAAAGGCATGAGAGCTGGATGACATGAAGGACAGGGATCAACACCAGGCTTGCATAAGTATTGAAGGCTGTGGAGGTTAAGGCTGCAGGCTTCCTCTCTGTTAGGTTGTGTCTGCTGAATCCTCTCGTCCTTGGAGCTGCTCAGGTCCCTGAGAGATTGTATTCCTGGGATGGGTCAGCAGTGCCAGTAAGGTGATCAGACGAGCTCTTTCTGTGGGTCTGTGGGGGGAAATAAGACAAATAAGACTCTTGATTCCAAGCACATCCTCACCCAGCCTCTCCCTGCTCCCTCAATGCATCTGAACACCACACCAGCAGCCCTGGGCTAGACATGTGACTCTGGCTCTAAAGCACTGTGCTATCACAACCCCACACTTGAAGTAGCAAAGCTGGAATGGACGGTGTGGTGCTGTAGGATAAACACTGAAATACTAACCGCAAAGTTCAAACCCACCAGCAGCTCCTAGGAAGCCCTGAGTCCGAACACTTAGCGAGTATAACTCCAAAGTGCGCGCGCACGCACACACACACACACACACACACACACACACACACACACACACACGTCCCTTCACTGTAGCTCATCAAGGGTGACATTCATCCTTCCCAGACCTCAAACCAGAAGTCTAAAAGATCCAAGGAGGAAATCCCTTCTGGTACCCCTTTCCTATCTTCAGTGAAGGGACCCACACATAGCCCACTACCTGAGCTAGGCAGGCTCTGTTTCCTTTGCTCCTCTGGGCCCATCAGCTGCACGCCTCCATCCTCCACCAGCTCCCCTTTAGTCCTGTTCTCAGCATGAAGGAGCCCATTAGTGGGAGGATCAGTAAGGGGCTCAGCCCGAGGAAAGCTTGGGGAGGCAGGTGGGGGAACCCCCACAGAAGGCTTTCGGGCCACAGGTGGGGGACCCTTAGGTGACTTCTTCGGGGCTTGGGGAGGTCGTTGCTCTGAGATGCTCCGAAGTTCAGCCACTAGATTTCGCTGGAGGTCAGTCTGGGACTCCGGTGACACAGGCCTCTCCAGCTGCAGTTTCTTAGTGCCCTTGGAGAAGATGAAGCTGGCTGTGGAGGCGGAGGACTGGGGAGACCGCGGCTCAGCGTCAGGTGGTCCATTGGTCTGGGCACCTACAACACTCTCGCTGACAGACAGACTGGAAGCCTTGAGTCGGACAGCAGCATGGAGACCCGAGGAGGGGGATGGCACTGGACTGGCCCGCCCTGACAAAGCCCTACGTAGTGGCTTCTGGGGGGCCGATGGCCCCAATGCTGGGGTTGGAGCTCCTGTGGGTGCTCCCACAGAGCGCAGCCGTACCATCTGCAGGAGTGACGGTGTGATCACGGGGGCAGTGGAGTCCTCCCTGGAAGCCCCACTGCTCTTGCTGCAGCCCACCAGTTCCTTCTGAGGGAGTTTGGCCAGAAGTCCTGGGGCAGAACAAGTAGGAGGTGGGGCTGGGGGAGCAGGAGGTTCTAGGGTCCCATGAGTTTGGCTAAGGGATGAAATGGTGGCTGCAGGGAGCAAGGCAACCAGGTTGCTGGCAGGCTCCAGCAGAGCTGAAGGGTCTGCTGGCTCAGGGCCAACCATGGAGAAAAATGCCTCCTCTGGTGGGGGAAAGTCAGCCATGGACAAGTCCTGCTCCTCAGGGGCAGGAGGCGGGGGTGGGGGCCAGTTGGGATCTTGGAGGGACTCCTCTGCAGTCTCTGAGGCAAATGGGGTCTCAACCACCTCTGGCTTCTTAACGGGTGGTGGGGGTGGATGGTAAGATGGGGGTGGGGATGGTGGAGGCGATTGGTCTTTGGCAACCACAGGAGTCTCCTGTGGTGGGGTCAGAGATGTCTGGGAAATGGGAAGGGACTCAGGACTGGCATCAGTGGTAGAGACCGGCCCAGGAGTCAGAGACGGGGCCGTCAGAGCAGGGGCAGCCTGATTGGGGGTCTTAGGTTTAGAGGGGGGAGGGGAGAAGGGGGCAGGCACCTTGGGATGAGGAGGTATGACAAGCCTGTCACCCAGGGTGGTGGACATGTGTGAACCAGAGCGGTCTGACGGGGCTGGGTCAGAGGAGGAGGAACACAGAGAAGTGAGGGAAGAGGAGACAGAAACCCCTGGAGATCGAAGGGAAGTGACCCGCTCTGGCTTAGGGGGCTGGGCCTTGCCTGGGGAAGAGGGGGCACCTATCAGGCCCTTGGGGGGAAGGGTAGGGGTGCCACTTTGGCTCGAATATCCACTGGAGGGTGAGAGTGTCCGTTCTGGAGAGCGTGGAGGACACCGGGAGCCACATGGAGACGAGCCAGGCCCCCAGCTGCCTGCCGAGTTGGATGGACAGGGTGCTGCTCCTACACCTTCTGACCCACCAGTGGTGGGCGGACGAGGCAGCTGTGGCTGCTGCTTCCGCTCAGGCTTGGGTGGCAACCCCAAGGGCCCATCAGGGGTTGCTGAGCTCCGCTGATGCAGTGAGTAGGTCCGGCGGGGCGGTGGTGGGGCCCGCTTCAGCTTACGTAGGGACACACTTCGGTTGGACAACTGCCCACCACTCCGAATGCTAGTTGTGTCTGAGGCCTCAGCAGTGCTGCCCCCACTGGGAGAGCCCCTCCCGCTGCCCCCCTGGGGAGGGGGTGCCACACTAGTGCTAGCCATGGAGCTCTCGGGTCGGCCATCAGAGCCACCCTTAGAGGAGAGGGTGGAGCCATCGGACACAATGGTTTCAGAGGACTGAGAGTGGCTCCAGGTGTCACTGGAGGAGGAAGGGTGGCGGCTGCAGGGCCGTGGACTCGAGGCTGAGGAGAAGCGGCCCAGTGAGCGGACAGAGGCCGGGCTGGCCGACAGCAGGCTGCCTCGGCTCAGTGTACGCAGGCTGCAGCGGCTCAAAGCTACCACGTCCACCGTGGGTGGCAGTACGGCATGTGGGATCAGCTTCGAAAGGTAGGTGGCCTGGGGTGAGATGGACATGGCTGGGCTTAGGGGCTCTGCAGGCCCCACCCCTCCTGTCAGCCCAGGCACTGCCAGGGACATGGGCCTGGTCAGTGGCGGGGGCCGGGCCCCCGTGGACCGGCCAACGAGGGTATCATCCCGGTAGACAGAGTCAATGTGGCACTGTAGCATGGCCTCCGCCTTGGCCCCAGTTTCCGCCTCCACCTCTAACTCCTGCAGCGACACTCGAACCCCCGTCCCTGAAGCCAAGCTTGCTGGGTGACCGTCCACTGTGGGGATGCGGACAGCATCCCGGGAGCCAGGAGGCCGAGGAGTACCTGGTGCTTCACGCTCGTTCCGCAGGCCTAGGACGGTCATGAAAGAGACAGGAGTCAGCAGAGAAGAGGGGCTAGTCAGGGTTCCCATCCCCCAATGCCCACCCCCAATGCTCACCAAGTTCCTTCTGCACATGCTGTGGTAGTCCCAGCACTGTGCTCCGCCGCTCTCGACGCCGCTTCCCTGATTTCCCGGATGATTTGGGAAATGAGTCATGGGGTCGGAAGGTAGAGCCTGGAGGCCAGACCAGGAGAGAGAAGCTGTTAGAGCGGGTCTCAGGGCACAATTTGCAGATTGCTACTTTTGTACAATAGCACTAAGAGCTCTGCTAAAAAAGATTTCCCAGAGTCAAGCAGGCCTAGGCAAATCCAGGTTACACAAAGCTAGAGACTTAACTGGAAGGCTTTACCTGGTGCTTTCTCTATTTAGTGAGTGTCTCCTAGGGTGGTAGGAGCCCTAGCAGTGCAGTGGTTAAGCACTTGCCTCTAACTGGAAGGTTGGTGGTTCAAACTCACCAGCTGTTCTGTGGGAGAAAGCTGTAGCAATCTACTTCCGTAAAGATTTATAGCCTTAGAACCCTGTGGAAGAGTTCTACTCTGTTCTATAGGGTCTCTGAGTCAGAATTGCCAACCTGTAAAGGGCTTAGTTATGTTGTGTGCCAGCATCCTAAACACCTGGCAATCATGCCAACGAGGCAAGTACTCTTATCATCCTCATTTTTACAGACTATCAAACTACAGCTTAGAGAGGTTAATGATTTGCCTGAGTCACACAGCTTGATGTTACATAGTAGCAGCACCAGGCCTCAAACCCAGGTTTTCTGATTCTGAGACCACGCTCTTGATTGTCCTGCTTTGTAATCAATGTGTATCATGAAGCTCCAGGAGAACCCAAGTTACTCTTTGTGTTTCCTGAATCCACTAAGTCACAGAGCCCTGGGAAACCACAGGTGCTACCTCCCACCCAACCCCTGGAGAATCCTATAGGCAGATGAGCAGACACCTCTGCGCTGGATCATCTCTGAGCGGATGGAGAGTGCGTCCTCCGCTGTGGAGCTCTCAGCTGTGTAGGATGTGCTCTGGCTGCAAAAGGAGATGGTGTCTTCATCCGGCCCTGTCCTGGAGGACTATTGGGGTAAAAAAGAAGCTCAGGCCTTGGCCTCACGACCACCCCAGAGGCCTGAGGTGAGACTGGCCATTGACTTTTAACACCCCCGCAAGCCAGCATCAGCAGTTCTGAAGAGCAGTAGCTGGAGCAACTCTAGACTAGTCCTCAGGGGTCATCTAGTTTAACCCCATGAGGATACAAGAAGAAAACTAGACCCACAGGGATCAAAGGTCACGGAGGGAGGACTGAGCTGAGGGAGTGCTCACCAGGATGCTCTGGGTGTCACCATGGTCCCAATTGCCCTTATTCAGCTTCTGTTTTTCTGGAAGACACCAGAAGAGTGTCCTAAGTTAAGGCCCTGGCTCAGGGAGCTAGAAGGTAGTACTTGTAATGAAGTGGGCCTGGGAGTTACCTTGGTGTTGTAGGGAACGGAGCCCTTCCTGGGCCTGGGTGTGCAGCTCCTCCAAGTGAGGCGGTCGCCCACTGGGGAAGAAGACATTGTCCTGATGCTCATCCACAACAGACCCTGGCCCGGTACTTTGACGTTTGTCATTTTCAGCCTTGGTAGAACCTAGTGGGATGGAGGGAAAAGGGAAGTGAGGCCCAAAGGCACAGGCTCAGGAAAAGTTCCCAGAGACCCCAGACTATTCACAGTCTCTGCACACAGATGCAATACACCCAGTCCCCAAACTCTTCACACCCACACAGAGTTCTGGGGCATATACTTAGTGCACTCAGCCTCCATGTATCTGAGTGTTTATGTTTGTATCTGAGTACCCACATGTGGGCAAACTGGTCCACTGTAAGCACACAATACCCACAGTCTGTATACAAACAAATAGCAACCAAGTATAAACACATCTGTGTACTCATGCCACACAAGTACTGTGTACTCCCCCCACATGTACATAACCCCCACAGATCCCATTCTATACATATACAAACCATTCCCAAGTATACACGGAATTATATACCTCACTCAAGGCCCCATGCACGACACATTGCTCATAGTAAATACACTTCTGTTTCCTGACCCCAAGCCCCATTTCACAGGAAATAGATAATTTTCTCCTGCACAAACATGCATTATACATGTGTATACAACCCGTTGGTCCAAGTCTACGAAGAAGATACCATGTAAAACTTGGAAGGGGTGGAGGCTAGCAGGGATTATAACCAGATTCCCAGAAAATCCTGGGCAGAAAGAGAGACCAGGGATATGGCCTCTTGGGTCCTCTACTCACCCATGTAGCTGCCCTTTAGTGGAAGGACGGGCAAGGGGAAGGGGAAAAAGGACCTGGCCCCCCCACTTCAACCAAGGCAGCTCTGAGGGAGCAATGCCAGGTCTCCCACTTTCTGAAGGGCCTGGCCCCAGGTACCTAGAAGTCAGGGATCCATTACAAAGGATCTAGTTACAGGCCCCGTCCATGGGGGTGAGGGGGGGGGGGACCAGTTATCTAATCCTGGGAAGGGGAGGCTGTGTCAGCAGTTAGAAACCCCAGCCCACCTTTAAATGGAACCCACAACATAAGCAAAAGCTCTGGGTCATATGACCTTGGCTGTACCTTGTAAAGGGACAGGAACAAAACAAACCCTTTAAGGGGCCACACCCCAGGCCCAGGGTCTTCAGGTCAGACACCTGTCCTTTCCACTTTCCTTAGTCCAGTCCTCGAAGGCCAGAGCTCTGCCCTAGGGAATCTGAAGCAATCCTGCAAGGTCAAAACCTCACCCAATCCTGACTTTCTAACTGGGGACAAGCTCAGAAAGGGGAAAGGCCTTGCCTAAGAGCACCTAGCAACGTGGAGTCAGGGAGAGCCAGATCTGAACTCAGGATTTCTGGATCATTCTCAGACTGGGGGGCCCTCTGACCTCTCAAAACTCAATAACCTCTGGCCCTGGCTTCTTAGTCCAGGCCTAAAAGACCAGGAGAAGGAAATGGGCAGAGGCGCTTTCTCCAAAACTTCTCCACATCTCGGCCTCTAAACACAGGATTTCATTCATCATACTACTCCCCAACTTTCCTCTCTTCTCTGCTCCCCACATCCCATCCCAACACCTTGAGCAGGCTTGGGAAGGAGCAATACTACCACACTGGCCTGAGATATTGGACAGTACTCAGTCAAGTGTGGGTACCCCTGGGGGGAGGGGGTGTCTCTCCAGAGGGCTGCTAGCTTCAAGGTCAAGAGACTAGACCATCCTCCCAAGCACATGCAGGGTCCAGACAAAGGCAGCACCAGAGTCGCTGGACAAAGGCAAGGTGGCCGGCTAATAGGGGATTCTGGCCTCGTTATTAACCTCACCCCCACCCCATTACCGTTTCCTGGCTTTAATCTCCTAATCAACATAACGGTCTGGTAAATAAGAGTGTCGGGGATCACCGCTGCACATCCCCCCCCAGCCACACCCACTCACCCTTCTTCTTAAAGAGCCCGAGAAGCGCTGGGAGACGGCGACCCAGGAACACTACCATGATTGCAGGCGCTACCCAGGACCGTCCCCTAACTAACCACTCCGGAAAGGAAAGCCAACGCCGGACTGCGACTTCACCACCACCCAACAAGCACGGAGGGGCTGCGAGCCCGCCCCGCCGCAGAGCGCCAGCTCCAGGCAAGGGAGGGAGAGGGGCTGCACCCCAGGTCCTCCGCCCACATTCGCCACTGACCCCGCCCACCCACCGATCCCGCCCTTCAAGGGGAGTGGAGGGGCCTGAACCACCCTGAACTTGGAGAAACTGAGGCCCGTTAATCTGTGCGTGCTCTACCCTGGACTCCTGGAGAAAGGTCAGAAGACACAATTCCAACAGCAGACCACAAACCCTGTCCCTGTATCCCTGTCTAAATATTCAGGAGCCAGAGCTAGAGCAGGGATCCCAGTTGCCAGAGAGTGAATGGAGGTGCCACTAGACTAGGCTTGGCATGGTGCCCCCCACGGGGCACTCCTGGCTGGTGAACATTCCCTGGAGAAGCAGCTCAAAACATGCAGTCAAACAGGACTCTAGGGCTGTTTGAGGGGGTGGCAAAGCCATAGGCAGATGGCCCTGGAAGGCTGGGGTCTGGCCCAGGACACAGTACTAAGTATATGTTCAGCTCCACACTTTCTAAAGGCCCAGAGAAGCATAGTGAACTCTCCAAGATCGCAGAGCAGAGTCAGGACTTCCATGTCGACCTTCTACTACCCTAGTTCAGAGTTTTTTCCCATAGGCCCTGTAAACTCAGTGACTCTGTGCTGGATCACCAGCCAGGAAGAACAACATGAACCAGAAATACCCTTAACAGGATTGTGAGAATGGCACAGGACCACTGTTTCATTCTGTTATGCATAAGGTCGCTATGAGTCAGAATCTTCTCGACAGCACCTAACACCCAATTCACAATAAAAAGCTGTTTTAAAAAAAAGGCAATCAGAAAGCAGCTCAAAGTGAAAGCAGAACACAGGGGGCTGGGGAACACTGGGAAGAAAGGCAGATCTGGGTTCAAATCCAGTTCCAGCACACACAAATCATTTACCTCAGGTAGAAAACATGACCGATGACTCCTCTTTTTCTAAGATTCTTGCAGCCATTCAATCAACAAATAGTTATTACACTAGGGGCTACAGAATCCTGGTGTGGCACTGTAGATTAATGCGCCAAACTACAAAGCCATTTAAACTGCAAGGCCAGCAGTTCAAGCTCACCAGCTGCTCCTCGGAAACCCTATAAGGGTCAGAACCGACTTGACGGCACTTCACAACAACAACAGGGGCTATAGTTAATGGAAAGCTTTGTCTTGTTCACTAGTGATGCCTGTACCTAAATCAGTGCCCAGCACATTCTATGAGCTCCATAAATATTTGATGAATAGATGAATGAGGTAAACTAACAATAAAATTTCAGATAGTGAAGACTGAAAAACAGGGAGCTGGGATAGGAAGTTGTTGTTATTGTTGTTAAGTGCGTGCTGACGAGTCAATTCTGACTCATAGTGACCATGTAAAGGGTTTCCAGGGCACAGTTGATAGGTTTGAACCACTGACCTTTGGGTTTGCAGTCCAATGCTGACCCTACCGCACCACACCTGGAGTCCAGGAACAGCAAGGGAGTGCCTTTAAAAGGTCATCTGAACTGAGACCTGAGCAGCCATGAGAATGCTGGGTGCTGAGCCTCCCAGGCAGAGAGAACCAGTGCACAGGCCTTGAGGAAGAAGTGGTGGGTTTCCAGGGACAGAGGGAATCCCAGTGTGGTAAACTGAGGAAAGCATGGCAGGAGATGAGGCCGAAGGAAGGCACTAAATCAGGCAGGGCCCCATAAAAGTTGTTGTTAACTACCACTGAGTCAATTTCAATTCATAGCAACCCTGTATAGGGTTTCTGAGGAGTGGATGGTGGGCTTGAACTGCTGACCCTTTGGTTAGCAGTCCAGTGCTTATCCTACAGTGCCACACCAGGACTCCACAGGCTTTGTAAGAGTATAGATTTTGTTTAGAGCTCTCGGAAGTCGGTCACTTGGGATTTAAGTGGAATACTAACATCATTAGAAAGATCCTTCTGGTTGACAACTCTGAAGAGAGAAGCAGAGACTGAAAAGAGCCCATCAGTAAACTATAAAGTGCTGTACCCTAAACTCGACTAAGACCCCCTGCAGCTCCTTCCCACCTCAGGGACCACTCCACAGGCAAGCTGAGAACACAAAGACTTGTCAAGGTGGGTAATATAGTGTACAGTCACAGTAAACAATCGTCCTAAGAAGTAGGCAGTTTTACCCCCATTTTACAGATGAGAAGATGAAAGCCAGAGAGGACAAGCATGATACAGCTCGCTGGTAAGTGGTAGGGCAGCATTCGCACTGAGAACAACCCGAGTCTCAAACTCCAGCATTGTCCACTGTGACAGATACAGACCTGATCTCTTTTTTGATAAAGGGCCACGGGGTTCCATCAGCCATCAAAGTGGAGGCTGATCCATTCCACCCCTCTTATCAGTCCCACACAAACAGAACAGAGTAGCAGACTGAAACTTCTGGTGTGAGTTTTTTTTTTAAGTGAATATTTAATGAAGACATTATAGAAATAAACATTTTGTTACCAAACAGCATAAAGGATGTTCTAGATTTAATGCAAGACTTTTAATTTTTAAGTATGCTTTCCAGGTTTTCAGTGATACTGTCTGTATATTTGGTACTCCAGAATCACCTCTAAGTTGGTTTAATTTGCTGTACGGGGTAATTAATTCTTGCCAGGCACCGTGCCAGGTGCTAGTGGAGGGCAACACCCAATCTCTGTCCTCATGGATCCTACAAGCGTCCTTCAATGCAGGGAGTCAAAGGTACTCTTCTAGTCAAGGACCATGGATGGGTGAGGCTCAGAGTTAGGTGACTTTTCAAGCTCTGGTAAGTTCCAAAGCTGGGGCCTTAAACCACCCTAGACACTCACCCTCAGCTTCCCCCTAAACAGGGAAAGGAACCTCTAAGCTCCTGCTAAATCAGGGCAGAGTAACACCAGCTCATCAAGGTCCCAGGTCCACACAGTTGCAAACTCTCCATCTGGATCCAAGGTTCTTACATCTGACAACATCTGGTTGCCCTGACAACACCCCTCCCCCCAACTACCCTCAGCCTGGCTCAAGCAGGATGCCTCTCTGGGCCACCTCAGGCACAGGCCTGCACCCAGAGGCTTGCTTGGGGCGGAGCTCAGCGCCCTTATAGTCTCAGAGGGTGTGCACCTCACAGAGAAAAAAGCTAAAGCCAGTGAGTGAAAGGGCTTTGCTCAAGGCCACACTTGGAGCCCGTGTGCTCAGCTTTCTGCCCCTGCACAGTTCAGGGTCACAGCCTGGAACTGAGGCTGTGAGGGAATCTCATCAAAAAGCCGACGCCCCTTAGCCCTCACCTGCCTGAAACAGGAGGCTTTCTGGATCTGAGAAGGCATCCTGCTCCTGGCCACACCCCACAGCACGCAGGGTACATCAGGAAGCACCCAAGCAAACGGTGAGCTCAGGTACAGTCCACGGGGGCAGGCACAAGGACTCGCACCTCCAGAATGCTCCACCTGGGCCACCTTCCAAGGTGTGCACTCAGGGCCACGCCCACAAAGCATTCTCAGGCCGCCCTAGTCCACACAGTCCCCCGCACAATGGGAGCGACCGCATAGATCACGTAGGAGCCTTACCAGGTGGGAGCTTGTACATGAAAACAGGTGTGTGTGTACCCGTGGGGCTTTCCGGAGCCCGAGGACAGTGAGTGGGGAAGGGAGCCCCAGCCCTTCAAGGCCACGCGCGCACACATGTGCGCATGCGTAAACCAACTTGGCACGCTCCTCCGAGGGGTGAGGCCCCAACCTGCCCCATTCCAGAGCAAGGGGCGGGGGCGGCGGCGCACCCACAGCCTACAGCCGGGTAGGCCTGACTCAGGGGAGAGGAATGAGGGGGGTAAGACACAGCTGCCCAGGTGGCCTCACTCAGGAACGGGAACCCTCTGGGCGGAAGCCACCTCAAGCCCCGCTGCTCCTATCTTGATGGTCAGCGTTTAGGGAACCCCAGTTTCAACCCCTCACCATACATATAAATGGACACACAGAGAAGACTCTGGAGTGTATGCAGATTTGATTCTCTCAGGCAAGAGGAAATGAGCATAACCAAGGCTTTCAGAAGTGCTTCTCAGTTCAGGAAACACTCTCTTCTGCAGTCTGGAAGAACACCTTACAGGAAACCAGAAAGGTACACGTGAATCTCCTTTTCATCCAAGTGCACAGGGAGACTCAAGGGAAAGTGACTTGCTCAAGGTCACCTCACCAGGAAGTAAAGGTATACAGATTCAAACCTGGGTCTCACTCCAAAATGCCTTGGTGGTCCTGAGTCTGGGGAATTTAATAGGAAGTGGGAGCACAGCCTCAATCCCTGCCCAAAGAGGTACCCCACCCCAACAGAAGAGGAATCCCTTTCCTCCTTCCTCTGGGTTGAGCCCCACCCCAGTGGGGGCAGACCAGACAGTCCAGTTCTAAGGTAAACATTGAGGGGGGGGAAGCAGGGAGTGCCCAACCAGGGAGGGAAGGATCCCATCCCGCAGGGCACCACGGCAACAGGCATAACAAGGGGAGGAATTAGCTACAATAATATTAATAAAGGTTCTAATGAGTTTTCAGGACAGAATTTGCTCCTGACAATGACATGATAATCCCTTTCGGCCAGGGTGCAATTCTGATTTTCCCAAACCCTTTCCTTTGTTACTTGAAGGCATGATTGTCCCCATTTTATGGATACCTGGGAGGCAGCCACCATGAAGCTGACTAGGAGAGGAGAGGGCTAAAAATCAGGAGGTCTGGATTCCAGGCCTTGGACAAATGAATCAGGCTCTCTGGACCTCAAGTCGAGAAACCCTGGTAGAGAAGTGGCTAGATGCTCAACTGTTAACCCAAAGGTCAGGAGACATCTGCTTCTGTAAAGAAACCCTCTACTCTGTCCTATAGAGTCATTAGAGCCAGAATTGACTCAACTGAAACA